GAGTTACGTGAATAAATGACCTTTGCTATTTAATTTAGTTTAGTTTATCTGTGTTATAATTGACAGCATGCTGACTCATTAGAAAGGAGGAAGATGGAGAGAACATTCTAGAGGCAGTGAACGAATGTGTAAGGGCCCACAGTGATGGGAATGAGAAGCCCTTGTGTGGCTGGAGGATGGAGAGGGATGGGGAGAGGAGCTCTGAGGCCTGGGAAGCAAGCTGCCTGCCGTCCTGTCTCCAGGGCTGGGGGAACCACTCAGGGGCTCACTCAGGGGTTGTGTAACTGCATGGCCCACCAGGAGAGTCACCTTGGCTGCCAGGGGGCTTAGCAAGAAGAATTCTGGCTAGAAGACTGTTCCAGTACCTCGAAGCTTCTCAAACTATTCTGGTCTTAGGATTCCTTTCCATGAAAAACTTATTGAGGACCCCAAAGAGCTTTTGTTTTTATGGGTCGTGTCTACCAATTTTGCCAAAGTAAACAATAAAATAGAAATTTGAAACATAATTTAATTCACTTAAGATAATACGCATCAATCCATGAGGTCATTTTGCAAAGCTCTTTAAAGTCCAGCCCAGTGGGAGCCGGATGATCTCCTCTGCTTTCCCTGACAGTCGCCGTGAGGAATTTTCAGTCGCAGTAACATGAAGAAAAATGTCAACCTTCTCGGATATGCAGTTGGAAAAGGGAGGGATATTTTGATAGCCTCTTCAGATAACTGTTCTTGTTACTCTCTCATCGTACACCGGACACTCAATAGCTCCTAGTTTCTTAAAGGTAGATTGCCAAGGGGGTCACTGGCACTGTGGTTATGAACTTCTACTCAGTTACATTAAAATCCACTGGTCCCTCTCTCACCTGGCACGGCCTTTGCCCAGGCACAGTTATGATCGTTCAGATAGCCTGAAAGCATCCCAGAGATCCCCGGACTATCCTTTGAGAGTCACTGATGTAAATTAAAGAAGCTACGCAGGACCCTGAGCAAGGGCAGTCAAAGGACAAGTCAAGTAGAAGTGTAGTGAGAAATGGGTGGATCAGTGTGGCATCCTGGAGGCACCGAGGATGGGTGGGTTTAGGAGAAGAGGAAGAGATGTCTCCCCAGGTTCCGGCCCAGGTGGATGATGCTACATTCACTCACAGGACAGGAATTGAGAATCAGGTTTGGGAAATTGAGGCGGATCTTTGGGGCTCGTTGGACTGAACCAGAGAGAGCTCCCT